CCTTTTGCTACAAATGATCTTCTATTTACATTTTATGCATTATACAAAAAAAGCTGAAAATGAATCATGGATCTAAAAGATAAATCTTAAAGGTATAAAACTCTTAGACAACAAGATGAAGTCTCAGTGGTGAGTTAGGCTGAGAGTCCTTAGCACAATATCAAAAGTTCAATCCATTAAAGAATTAATAAAATTCTTGTGATTGATGCACCAAAAATTTTAAACTATTCTCTCAAAATATAAAGTTGGAAGAATGAAAAGACACACTAACAAAAAAGACGCATGATGGCAAACAATGACAGGAAAATATTGCACCTATTAGTCGTCGGGAAAATGTAAATCATGGTGAGACATCATTGCATGTGTATTAGAATGACTAGGATGCCTCAGACTTACTAGAGCAAGTGCCGAGTCATTGGCAAGGCTGTGCGATTCTCACACGCTACAAGCAGGAATGAGAAGCATTTGACAGTTTCTTACTTTGGAACATGCACACACCGCCATGTGATTTAATTCTTCCACTCTCAAGCATTTGTACAAGAGCAAAGAAAACTTGTAGTCGTGCAAAGACTGCTTATGAATGTTTGACTCATAATAGCCCAAAACTAGAAACAACCCAAGTGCCTATCAGTGTGTGAATTATAAACAAACCGAGGCACATCCATATTAGTCGGCGATACTAGTCAGCTATAGATGAGAGTGAGCTACTGATGTACTCCACGGCATAACCGAATCTGGAAATAATGTGCTGAATGCAAGGAGACAGCAAAATGGATGCTATGCTGTTTGACGCTACATATGTAAACTACAGTGAAGCTCAGACTGATCTCTAGTGGTAGAAGCAGATCACTAGCTGCTTGGGTGTGGACAAAAGGAAGCAAAGGAAAGGTGTCAGTGACATGATACAAGAAAACTTTCGAGGTAATGAAGATGACCGTTCTCTTGATTGTAATATTTCGTGAGTGAAGACCTATGTCAATGCTTATCAAATTGCACTTGAAGCACGCGATTTGTTGGACCTCAAGCACATCTCAATAAAGCTGTCACTGAAAGCGAATATCATCTATGTCAAATGGTACTCTGAAAACCTCAGGGGCACAGAGCAGTAAGTTTCAGTTGTTTGCACATCTGAGCGAGTAGGCAGGCAGCTCTGTTAAGGTTGGCTGGCTATGTTTCCAGGTGGTCAGGCAACTGTTGGCTTATCTAGACTGGTCTTGGCTGAAAGGATAAAGGGGACTCTTCTATGTCCCTCATGCTCCAGTCGGGAGGCTGGTGGTGGTGGCAGAGACACAGGAGAGCAGGCCATTTCTCAAGTCCACTTTGTGTCTCTATTTGTCTGAAAAACACCATTACTCAAAGCAAGACACATTGCTGAGTCAAGAGTCAGGGAGTAGAGAAAAGAGTTTGCTCTGGATAAGGGATGGTAAAGTCACATAATGAGGGGTGTGGATACCAAGAGGGATGTGGGGCTGGAGGCATAATTGCTATCTAGCATGGGGACTTCTGCTGAGCCAAAGCAAAAGAGACCACCCTGGTTTGATCTTCTATACAAAGTCTTCGCTGATCATCCCAAGGAATGGTCCTTCCCTTCATTGTCTGTCTCTCCCTGAGCATCAGCTGAGCCCCCTCCCAGCTTGAGACATCCCCTCTTAGCATGGCCTTTTCTCTGCCCATGTTTTATCTCTCCTGCTTGACCAAGCACCCCAGGAGTGAACCTGATGTCTCACCCTGATACCAACCCTTCCATTGGGCCTGACCCCAAGTCATTCCCACAGTAAGTCATAAAAGATCAAATGGCAGCACTGTCTAGGAAAAGCTATAAGGGAACTCCAAGACATGGGGGCAGAAGCAGACTGAGGATCAAGGCCCCAGATAGACAGAAAGTGCAAGGGACAGAAGGAACGACATCTCTTTGGTCAAGATTATCACAGTTTGGCATGGGCTGCTTCCAAGATCACAAATCCCAGACTGTGAGGGCAGGCAGAAAGCAGATGACCCTTGGGTCTGGGTGTCAAAGGGCCTTTCACCCTTCTATGAAGATTCCTCTGGCTCCCCTTAATCCTCACTGGGTCTGAGGACTGATGCCTGTCTCCCTCACACTTTCCTCCCTACCGGCTAAAAGACATCCTGTCTCCTGGGGCGTGCGGAACCGGAACCGAAGTTGGCTAGAATAAAGATAAAGCTTTGGGGAGGGCCACCACTCCCCTGGGTACACAAGGGATGACTGGAAGCTGGAGAGCTGGGAGGCCAAGACTGCGGGAGGCACTCATGTGTACTGACCACCCCACACCAGGCACAAAACTAGGTGATGCTTCCATTCAGGAATAACTAGGCGTTATCGCCTACTCTGCCCTTTCCAGAGACAAGCAAACCAAGCACAAATGGAGTAAGTACTTGCCAGGGGTTACCTAGGTAATAACCCACAGAACTAGGATTCAAACCCAGCACTCATCTCATTGGTGCTGGTATTTAGAGCACTCTGCCTGGACAGTGTTCTTCCAATGCCCCTCTGACTGTTGACCCTCTCTCTGTGTCAGTTTGAGGTAGTTAGAAAACAAAAACCGGGGCTGGAGAGATGGCTCAGTGGTTAAGAACACTGGTTGTTCTTGCAGAAGACCCGGGTTTGAATCCCAGCACCCACATGGCAGCTAACAACTGTCCGTAACTCCAGTCCCAAGAGATCCGACAGCCTCCTCTGACCTCTGCAGGCATTGCATGACACGGATGCACTTACCTACATGCAGGCAATACATCCATACATATAAAATAAAAAAATAAATAAATACATTTTAAAAAAAAATACTACAATAATTCTCCATATGACAATCTGGACAGGAGTGAAGTTTCTGCCACCTGCTGGTTGTCTGTCACAAACAGGCCTAGACCATCATGTGAACAGCACCCCCACATGTCCAGAGAGTAGGTAGTTGTAATCTCTAGTCCTGAGCCTGAGCCCTTTCCCCAGTCCAGGGGTGGAAGCCTCTCTGATAGCAGGGTTGGCCTTTTTTACGAAGGACTAACAAGTGACTCCGTTAAGCACCAAGCTCTGCTTGGTATCAGCTCTGAATCTTCATAAGGTATAACGGGGAAATGGGTGCAGAGAGATTTGTCGATTCAGCTATTAACTGACACCATAGGATTTAAATGCAGGATCTGACGTGGTCGATTGGTTAGTTAGTTGGTTTTTCTTACACTGTCTGTGCCTCAGTTTCCTCAAATGTAAAACGAGAGTAAGAATAATCCCTTCACACATCACTGCTGGGATGATTAAAAAGTGAAAAATACTGAATGCCAAGAATAGGGTCAGATATGTACTAAACACTAAGTGATTAACCATGTGCATGTATAACACACACATGCTTGCATGTAAACCTGCCTAGACCATCTTGTGAATGGAACCCTAATGTGTCCTGAGAAGTGTGTAGTTGTAATCAACAGCCCTGAGTCTGAGCCCTTTCTCCAGTCAAGAGGTGGGAAGACCTCTTTGCTAGCAGGGTTGGCCTGTGTCAAAGACTAACAAGCACAGAGCTCTGCCTGACATCAGTTAACTTAGAGAATCCTCATAAGGTATAATAAGGAAACAGGTTCAGAGAGATTTGCACATAGATACTCTTACACATACACACACATACACACTTACATACACAAATTCATAGCCACATACACTGGTATAGATCCTTGCAGGTAGATAACAGGAAACTGCACATCACTGGGAGCCAGAAGGTTCAAGTCCCCTCTCTTTGAAGCACAGGACCTTGGATAAACTACACAGCATTATGATGCCTCACTCTCCTCCTCTGTAAAATGGGAATAGACCGCCTGTGCCAGGACAGCTGCTGGGAGGAGCCAGGAGGTATGTGACAGTATTGATGAGCTCTGACACGCTCTGTTGTTGGGCTGACACTGTGGAGGGCTGTGGCCTTTCAGTGTCAATGGCTTGTCCAGTCCTAACCAGCAGGGCAGAGCCTGGAGAGGATGAGAGACGCAGGTCAACTCCACCTCTGTCCTTGCCACACAGGAGAGCACTGGAACAGAACTCTCTTGGCAAGGTATCAGGAGACGCAAGCACCTCCCTCCCCTACCTAAGTTGAAGTGCTCAGTCCCCTTCTCTCACATAGTCTCTCTAAAGTGAGGGTGAGTGTCAGCAGCCTTCAGAAGAGGCTTCTTCCCTGTTTTTCAGGAGACAGTGTCTCAGGAGGAGATGAAGGGCCTCCTTCAGCTCGGGGCGCCTGGGAATGGAAACTCTCAGGCTCTGCAAGGACAGGAACGGGAAAAAGGAGCAGGACCCAAAGAAGCACCGGGGAGGGTACCCCAATCAATAGAAAAGGGCTGAGTCCCTGAACTTTCCCCAGGGTGTCCCCATCAGTGGATAGACAGTCCCAGAACCTTACTGTTGGGAGAGCTCTAGGAATTCTTGTAAGAACCAGGAGCCAGCCAGTCTGGAAAGGTTGTCCCAAACTGGACACCTCGGAGGAGTGGAAGGTGCAGTACTGAGTACAAATACCAACTGTAAGAGAGGGAGCCTAGGCTGAGCAAAATACCCCAGATGTCAGTCAGCCATGGGTTCAAAGAAATGAGTCTGGAGCCCAAGATGCAGCTGCCAAGTCATCAGGTGAGAGTGAGGCAGTGCCCAGCAGCAAACTCAAGGACCGGCCCAGAGAATGGGATGTGGGCAACTCCCACTCATGGTCAGGCATAAGCCAGACACATCAACCTGAGCCAAGCTGCTGGCCTGTTAGCTCAGGCAGTCTCTAAGGCACATGGGTAGAGGATGGCTTCTCTATCATAGGGTTGTGGAGTCCTCCAGGTTCATCCTGGGGTTTCCAGGGACTACCCAGGAGGCTTCCTCCTCTCCTTTAACCTAGCTGTCAGCACCACATAGAATGGGTCTGCCCTGGTTCTGGTCAAGAGGAAACTCATGCTTCAACCAAAAGCCCTTGTGGGTCAGTGCTGGGGAGTGCTGCACCAGGCCCACTGTGCCCTCTCCTCTTCCCCTGCAGTGTTGATTGGAGTGGGCACCGAGACCTTTCTCCGGGGACAGTTCAGAAGCCTGGCCTTCTATCTGCTGTGAGTATATGGACCTGTGCTTCCCTGCCTGCATGCTCTGTGCCAGCTCACCCCTTGTCTGTCTATTCAGAGCAATACAGAGCAACCCACTTCTCAACTTAATTCTATCCCATCCCAGAAGTGTAGCCAAGGAGATTTCTAAGATAATTCTTGGTTTGGGAAGATCATCTCCTGGATCAGCCAATTATCTTTCTGTACACTCACTCATGCCCATTCACACATCATCCATCTGTCCATTATCCCATCTACCTATCCATACATCTACCTACCTACCAATCCATCCACTAACCAACCCACCCATGTAACAATCCACCTATCCCTCATCTAACTACTCATCCATCCATCGCTCACCTACCCATGCATCTACCTACCCATTCATCCATCCACAGCCCCACCCACTCATTTATCTAACCACCTGTCTCCCATCCATCCATCCATCCATCCATCCATCCATCCATCTGCCCTTCTAACCCTCCACTCACTCATCCTTCTATCCACCCACTCCATGCATCATATACCCATCTACTCACCCACGCACACATCCATACAACCCTGTAATCATTTCTTTATTCAGCAAATGCTAACAAGTCTCTTGTTTAGGAGACTCGGGTCAAAGACCTATATATTTGAGTTCCCCTGCATGCTAGGCACAATTCCAAGTCTTATTTACATTGTGTCATTTAGCTTAGCACCATGAAAGAAGCGCATATTGACCTAACTGCCGAGATGTTAGAACTCAGGACTAAGAGGCCAGCTCATGTCACCAAGCTGATGAGCAGCAGGACCCATGTTCAGACACAGGACTCCAGCTCCTAAGCTGATATCCCTTCTTCTCTACCACCAGCTGTCTCTGCTAGCACACCCCAGTAGGATGGAGAGTGATGTGCAGTGATATCACAAGGGGTGAGGAAAATTAGGGTATCTGAGAGTGACTCAGCATCTCCGCGATTCCATCCTTGTTGTTTCTTCACCATGCTAGAGGGAGACTGTGTGTCTCAGCTCCTGGATGCTGCAGGGCTGCTGAGCTGAGAGGCAGCAGTAAGGAACAGCCAGACGGCCTCTTCCTGCCTTCAAGAACTCAAGCTGCATCTGCCCTCTTTCCCTTCTCACTGACCTGTCCCTTGCCTCCATGGCTCACCTGAGTCCTAAGCAGCGTTTCACCACCTACCTTTTAAGGCATGCTCTCTGCCGCTCCTGGCAGCTCACATCTGCCACTTCCCAGCAACAGTGTACCATTGGAGCTCAGGTCCTTACTGTCACCTTATCTCTAGACACTCAGTTATACCTGGGGACTTCTGACTCACACTCCCCCCACTGCCTCGACACCATGCTGCACGTTCCCACTGAGCACCCAAGGGACCCCACACACACCACCCAGGTTCACTCCCCACATCTCATCAGCCTTGGAGCACTGACTCCTTAGGACCCGGCAACAGGGCTGGGCCTGCCTTCTCTCTAAAGGCTGGTAACTCACCAGTATGTTCCAGGATAGGTAATGCAGATACCTTCTCCCATGGATGCCACCTCTTCCTTAGGACTCTGCCCTGTCTTGAGGGGACCCAATGTCCAATCGATCACTCTTGGATCTACTCCAGCCTCAAGTCTCCATGTCCTTCATCGCCACTGACTTTAAACTCCCTACCCTCACCTTGCTCTCTAACACCCACAGATCTGCCATCGTCCCTCTCACTCTCTAACTCCATACAGGAAGTCTGAACGAGTCACGCACTTGTAGAACCTCAATTGCCCCTCTGTCGCAGGATGTAGGAAAAGGTTCTGCTGAAAGTTTTGCAAAGCACAGGCTTTGATGCACTTCTTGGGCACATCGGCTCTGGAGTTTAGGGGGTAGTTTAAATCCTGCACCTGCTGTTGATTAGCTGTGTGACCCTACGCAAGGTTCTTCACCTCGGGTTCCTCGCATGTAAATGACATCAGTATTAGTGCTGGTCATAAAAGTGTTGCAAGGATCCAATGAGTTGGTCTATATTGATAAGGCTTTTAGAATTGTGATTTTCACATTTCAATCATTGTATAATGTTAGTTATTATAATTGTAAACCTAAGAGGTAAGAATTAGGCAGACACTGGAAACACAGGAAAGCAGGAAAAAGTAGAGATTAAGTACCATAGTCACAGAGACAGGAAAAAAAATAACATTATAGAAGGATAGTTGTTCTATGAGCACAACTCTAAGGGCCTTGTAGACAGCAACTCATTTAATTTGTAATAATTTTATTGTTGAAGCCTTTACAGATAACCTTGATTTATAAATGAGAAACTGAATCACAGGAAGGCCACGTTTCTACCTATATTCACACAGCTGATCAGTAACAGGTAATATCTGTGGCTCTGAGGAGACGGGAGCTGTCTGCTTTGTCAGCTCTCACTCACTTTCACCCAGATTCACATTCACAGAGCACTCATCACCCGTAAGTCCTTCCCACTGTGGGCCCAGGCATCACAGGAGATACACAGGGAAATCCTTGTAAAGGCTCATAGACTGGTGGCTCTGGTTATGTATTATAACATGGAGGAACAAGAGATCCCTAGACAGGCAACCGGAGGGTGGGGAGGAGAGGCTTTCCAAGAAAGGCTAGCTTGCACAAAGGCCCTGTGGTACCTGCTAACCTCCTGTGTACTTAGGAAAAGGTGGACATGCATAAAGGGATTTAAATGGCATACCATTTCAATTCCATAGGCCAGGAAGACGCCCCAAACAAAAAATTTGAAATTCCATTCACAGATTCTGATATATCAAACTGAGGGGTGGGGAAGGGGGTAGAATCTATGGTTTTATGCACACCCCAGGACATCCTGATTTTAGAACTTCTGGAATAAGACAAGAACCTTCAGATCTGGATGTCACAGAGCCCTGGGCAACCTGTTAGTAACCAATGAATAGGAAATGGGGGCCAAGGAGGCAGGAAGGCCAAGAGTCAGGGCCTGACCCCAGGTATTTAGCAGTTCCTGGTGGGTGGATGATGGGAAAAGAGGAAGAAAGGAGGGGAACTTCATCGGGCTTAACTTTAAGGCTTGGCCAGCAGGTAAAGTACATGCCTGCCAGTGTCCACTTCAAGTGTTGGGGACAGGCCATCTTACCTGCTGACCGCAGCCTCCTCTCAGCCATGGCTCCAGCAGCTCTAGCACAGGTCTGCCATCTAGACAGCACTGGATGGATGTTGTCTCGGAGACAGGAATAGGTCCAAAAATCCTGGTCAGTCTGTCACTGGCGATACCCAGGAGGTAGAGATGCTGCAGGCAGACAGCCATGAGAAATCCACAGAGGAGCATCAGGCCTGACTTCCATCACCTCTTTCCACCCACAGGTCTACAGGGACTGCCATCTCTGTGTGCGAAGGGGCCTACTTTGTGGCTCAGCTGTTGGCTATCTGCTTCAGGTAAGTAGTCTCCAGAATTGACTCCTCCACCCCTACCCGGCCCCAGACACCCCAGATGCCTCACGTACAGGGCCATGGCTGGGAGTGCCCTGCTCCTGAGGCCGCTGTGGACTGTTTCTCCTAGAAGTAGCAAGCCCCAGCCTAGAAATGGTTTAGGTCAATTGGGCCCAGTGGCCATCTTCCCTCTGTTGTCATCCAGACCAGTCTATTCAGGTCTGGCCTCTACCCAGACTCCTCAGAAAAACCAGCTTTCCCTCCCTTAGGAGCATCTAGTCTCTGTGTCCAGACCGTCCACCACAGGTTGAAGACTGTACAGGGGCTCAGGTTGCAGGGAGCAGAGCTGCATTTTAGAACTGCCGCTGCCAGGCCACAGAGGCCGCAGTGCAGTATACCGATGCTCAGTGTGTGAGAATTGACATCAGTGTGACTAAGGGCTCAGACCCTGGACCATGGCTGTCAAAGCCCAGATAGTCAGGTCCCTAGATGGTCAGTGAGAGCCAGGCCTCAGACCCAGATACCTCGCCCCTTGAAAGGCCGCTGGCTGCCTCCAGGCTCAGCCCTTGAACAGTAGCTTGTCCCCCTTTCCCCTGAAATCTACTGCAAAGGGGCGAAAAGGAATGTTTTATACCACAAACACCCACACCCACCGATGGACACAAGGGGGCACCAATGAGCCATACCAAGCAAAGTCCTGCGTGTGACCAGCCAGCTTCCCTCCTTGGGCTGGGTGCAGCTGGGTAGCCACCTTCTCAGAACATGAAAGCTCTAAAGGTAGGCACTGTCCTCCTTTGAAACCTAGATCCAGTGTCCCTGAAGAAATCTGCTCATCACGGGGCCTCTGCCTTTACCCTGAGTGGTCCCTGTGTGCTAGTAAGGAAAGAAATCCAGACCAATGTCTAGGCAAGGTTTAGCAAGGATGGCGCAGCTGGATTCCAGCCTGCTTGCTCTTCATGCAGTGTGCAGTCCCCACGACGGCCCTGGAAAGCTGGTTCTTATAGTGCACACCTTCTTTGTCTGTTGTAGACCTGCCAGTCTACAGACTTGCAGAAAACACAGGGCCAGAAAGACTTTTAGAAATATTGTGGACTGTCTGGAGTGGCCCAAGTAAGCCCCCTAGCCATGAAGCCCACAGTGAGGACCCCGGGCTTCTGTGACTCCAGTCCTTCCAAGTACTCGGCTGGGGGCTACTGCTGAGATCATATCCACAGCAGGTTCCAGCCCCCGCTCCCATGGCCTTCTGTGGAGCTGGGACCTTCTTGGAATGCTTCCCACTAACCTGCTAACCTGATCCCCCTCCCCCAGGTGTCAGCCGGGGTCCCTGGCACACAGAGCAAGGGAGAAAGCCCACTGGTTGGGCTGCTTCCAGAAGTTCCTGGCCTACATGCTTCTGTCAGTAGCCTGCTTCCTCCACCCTGTCCTGGTCTGGCATGTGACCATCCCAGGTAGGATCGACAGGGGTAGTGGCAATGTGTGGGCCTGCCACAAGTAGGATCTAGAAAGGACAGTTGGGTCCCCTCTCCCAGAGCCCCCACTAGCCCCTCTGCCCTCTCTGACCCAGCATGGACAGGCACCATGCTTCCCAAGTGGCGGGGGCATCCTGAGAATGCAGTACTCCAGTACACAGCCATCCAGAGGCCGGACCCTCAGTAGGAGACCGGACCCTTGACAGGAGGCTGGACCCTCGAAGGGACCCTGGGCTGCCCTCTCACTGATGACTTTCCAAAGATAAGTGATGGCTACTTATCTGCCTAGACTCTTCCATATCCCCAGAACCTGCCCAGAAAGCTCTAAATTCCCCAGCAGAGTCAGGAAGGCATTCCTTGTGGACCCAAAAACAACATCTCAACCTCATCTCCTACCTCTCCTTCACAATGCCCCTACTTCTAACCACAGATTCAATGCCCCTCCACCTCTGTGCTTCTGTCTCTGACTTTCTTTGTTACAACCCTTCACTTCATTCCTCCCTGTTTATATGACCACTACCCCTCTCAGAACCCATTTGAAAAACCCAAGACTCCCCAGACTAATCAACAGGGCATAGTGCCTCCCTCTTTAGCATCTGCCCACCAGCCCGTGCAGAAGGGCTTAAAGGAGGATCCAGCCAATAGTGAGTGAGTCACAAGCCCTGCCCCCTGGAGAGGCGGATCCAGGAGGCCGGGGCACTGGTGGGCATCATAGGTCTGCTTAGTGCCTTCTGGAAGTAGGCTATGCTCCTTACAGGAAATTAGAGCAGAGAAGCCATAGGCTGTGTCAGAGGAGACTGGCCCATGAAAACAGATTCATGTCTTCCCTAGTTCACAGGGTGAGGGCCTGAAGGAGAATTGTAGGAGATTGTCTCATTTCTGGGAATGAGAAGATGTCTAATAAGTTCAATATCCACAAGAGAATTTAAATCTATCAAAGCCATTACATGCCTGGCCCCAGTAATCCACCCTGAGGGAGAAGCTGAGGGTGGTGATGGATGTCGGTCAGTGAGCAGCAAGACCAACGGTCTTATCATAAGCAGGGGACTTGGGGCACAGAGATCAGAAGAAGCTAAACAGAGCCCTTCTTTGGTGCCCACGAGGTGCCCAGCTTCCTGGCCCCACACAGCACTGGTCTATCTAACTTAGCAACCCTGTCATGTCACTCTCTGAGTTTGATGTGGGTATGGGAAGGTTGGACCCATGGGGGCACTGAGCACAGCGTGGCACAGTGGTGGTTCTGTCGGGGGACAAGCTTGCCCAGCCTCTGGTTGTCCTCCGTGATGTGTCTGTGCAGGGTCCCGACCTCTCAAATCTCTTCTAGGCTCCATGCTCATCGTCACCGGCCTGGCCTACTTCCTCCTGAGCAAACGGAAGAAGAACAAGTCTGCCCCTGAGACCCTCGCTGCCCCAGAGCAGTACACAGACCCCACCAGCAGCGCGGTGAGCACCACAGGCTGTGGGGACACTGAACAAACCTACACTTTCCACGGGGCCCTCAAGGAGGGGCCTGGCTCACTCTTCATGCACATGAAGAGCATCCTGAAGGGGACCAAGAAGCCCAGTGCCCTGCAGCCCCAAGAGACCTTAATGGAGCTGATGTTGGAGCCTTCTGACTCCTTGGGTAAAAAGAAACAGGTCCACTTTGAAGACAATGTGGTCAGAATCATCCCATCCCTCACAGAAGGTTTGGATGAAGGCGACAGCGAGCCAGAGGAAACCACCTCTGACACAGCCCCCATCATCCCTCCCTCGCAGGCCCCACTCCTTCTGTCTTCCCTCATGGCCACTGACTTGTTCTGAGCAGCTCAACTAGAGGTCGATGGCCCTGCTACAAGCCTCTTGACAGCCGTGGGCCCTGCAGGGGATTCAAGTCTTCCCAAGTCATCTCTTCCACACATCTCAGTGGTGGCCAGGTCTCTGGGAACCATAAGATAGTAAAGCAAGCCAGATCTGCAGAGACCTCCAGGAAGGCACAAATGAGGCTTTTGCCACGTGGAAGTCCTCTTTGGCTGTGGATGAGAAAAGAGACCACAAGGCTGCAGATCCAACTGCCTTCAGCCTAAAGGGACAGAAGGTATCTCCCCCAAAGATGCTGTGCTTCCTTAGTTCCTGGCAAAAGATACAGCTTTCAATAAGAACCCTATGGTGCGTTTGGCCTGTGATGCAGCCTCCCAGTCCTGAAGGCCCAGGGATGCATTTTCAGTTTGGGCATCTCAAAGGCAGGTGCTGAATGAAGTGGTCATGAGTCCTAAGCAAGCTTGCTCAGTATAGAGAAGGGAGGGGAGGCTGCAGATCCCAGGGTGAGCACAGCTTGGCTGTGAGCCACGTTCTCGGCATACTCTGGAACTGGGCTAGGCAGCAGGCATTGCAGAGGCACTCAGGGAAACAATGCCACTCTGTGCTCACCACTGGGAAAGCTAGCCAGAATAGCAGCTTTCATCCCAGAAACATCACTGAGGGCTCCCTGCATCCCTACTGCAGAAGCAGTTCCCAGATTCCAGGCAGATGGTACAGGTTCAAGGATATTGAGAGTCTGTGGCTAGCTGTGATGGCCAGGGCACAGCATGCAGTGTTTACTGTTGGTCAGACCCAGGGGAAATGCCCCCCAGAGAACCCCACCACACAGGGCATTGCCTCAGCCATTCTTGGGAACCTGGGAGCCAAATGTGTGATAGACATTTGCTCAAAATGGGAAGAAGGGAAGAAGGCATCTAAGGAAGATAGTGAGCAGCAGGCAGGCATAGTCTCTGCCCCGGGCTTCAGAAGTGACAGTGAATTCAGTCAGGTACTTCTCAGTGAAAAGATTTTCAGTATGGTTTTTATTTCTAAATAGTGTACTTGGTCCACAGGACTATCGTCAGGAGGAGGAGCCACTTTATTCTTCCCGAGTGAGCCCAGTGGTGTGTGAGCAGCAGGAAAACAGAGTTCTGCAGTGGGTGGGGATGAAGGGGGGGACGACTGGTGTCCTCAAGCACACACTTCACAGTCTAGATAAGAACCAAGTTCACTGCTGTACAATTTGCAATACCTACTTCCCCCAGATCTCATAGGTATTGCAAATAAGGGCCACCTAGAAGCTTCCATCAATCTGGTGCTTAACACAGCCAGTATTCTAAACTAGCAGAAATGCTTTCAGCAGAAGAGATGTTTTCTCAGAATGGGAGAAGGAAAGACAGAAGGACAAACCCTTAACCATGAGGAGCCAGACCTTGATGTCCTCTCCCTGTGTCTCTGTATTAGCTACTGTTTCACTGCTGTGATAAAATACCACGACCAAAAGCAACTTAAGGAAGGAAGAGCTCATTCTGGCTTAGGGTTCCAGAGAATGCAACCCCTAAAGGCTGCACAACGCCAACAGGAGCGGGAACCTTGCTGATCACATTTTTGCACTCACACAAGAAGCAGCGAGAAAGAACCAGAAAGGGGATGAGACTGTAAGCCTTCAAAGCCCACTCCTAGTGACACACCTCCTCCAGCAAGGCTGGACCTCCTAAAGGTTCCATAGTCTCCCCAAAGAGCACCACCAACTAGGGCCCAAGTGTTCAAATGCATGAGCCTATCAGAGACATTACTCATTCAAACCACCATGGGCTTTCATCAACCTTTGCATATTTTAAAGTTATCTTTTGGCTCTTGGTTGATTGATTTTATTTTTCTTAAACATTTTTGTTAAGATATGATTCAAATATAAACATCACCAATTTAAAACATAGTTAAATGGGTTTTAGTATATGTATAATCTGAGTTCATTATGATCACCACAATCTTAAGTTCACAACCCCTTTATCCTCCAAAAAAATAAACCCAGCCCAGTACCCATTAAGAGTCGCTCATCGCCTCCCAGTTTCTGCCCTATGTAACCACTGATATACCTTATATCTTTATAACCATGCCTATCCTGAGCACTTTGTATAAATCAAATCACATAAAATAATATAATACAGGCCTTTTCTTTAATAACTTCTTATGGTTTTCTCCATCTGGCATCCCACCCTCCTTTAGCTATTTAAACCTGATTTCCTTTAGTCCTTTATATACTTTATAATTGTTTTGAAGTCTCTTCAACTCTATCCAACATCTGGGAGTCCTCAAAAACTCTGTCCTTTGCCATCTTTTTTCTTCAATATCGCATTTTCTCATTTCTTTGCATATTTGAAGAATTTTTTATTGGCACCTGGACATTTTGGATACTGTAAGTTGTAGCTCCAGGTGCTGGGTCTCACTTCTCCACCCAGTGTCTTGTTGGTTTAGTCATTTGTTTACTGATTTTGTTTATTGGCCTAGTTCTGTGAAGTTGATCCATTTTTCCACAGTGTTCAGCCTCTGAACACTCAGAGCCTACTCAGATTATTCCTGATCTTTTAGTGTGGTTAATGAGGAGTTTTCCCTGGGTCTAGAAAAGCTGTTTATTGGTCAATATTTATAATTAATCCGTGGACCAATTAGATACTCTTTACTGCTGAAGTAGGGGGAGGGAGATTTGAGTTGCCTGTCACAAATCAAGTTTACAGGGCAAGTAGCTCCAATATCCTTTTTCTGACTCAGGAGAGGACATGACCTTCTTTGATGGACTGTCAGGGCAGTGCGTGGCTTTTAGGAGTTGTTCCTGGTCCAGTATTTGGTCAGAAAATGTGCTTAGTCCCTTAAATGCCCACAAGGCATGGACCTTTGGTTGAGGGTTGTTCATGGAGACAGAGTGTTTCTGAGCCTTGTCCATACTGCTATCTGGACGACTCCAGGATGTATGCAGTTGCCAACAGTTTTCCCATCTCCTAGGTTAGGTGATCTCAAGAAGGCTCCTTGTGCTCTCAGTCCTTTATTAAAGTACTGGTTCAGCGTCTTTCATCTTAATTGTCGCTGGTACCATGGAGTTCCAGACACTATTCAATTGCTCTCCCTGCGTTAGTTACTTTTCTGTTGCTGTCAGGTGTCATGACCAAAAGCACCAATGGAAGTAGACAGGGCTATTTGAGTCTATGGTTCCAGAGGGTTAAGAGACCACCATGGTGGTAGGCATGGCAGTAACGGGGAGGCATGGCATCAGGGGCAGGAGGCTGAGCTCTCACAGCTTCAAGAGCAAACAGGAAGCAGAGAGAGAGAACTGGCAGTGAGGCAAAGCTATGAACTCTCAAAGCCCACCCCCAGTGAGGTGCGTCCTCCAATAAGCCTACACGTCCTAGAGAGCCCATGATCTCCCCAAACAGGGTCACCAATTGGAGACCAAGTTCAAATACTTGAGCCTATGGGGACGGTTCTCATTTAAAACACCACACTCCCAAAGGTCTATTTACATTATTTTTGAGAACTCGACATACACTGAATTTCCCACATTCTGTTCTAGACAAACGCAGCCTCTGAACTCTCCATTCTTTCTCCCTGGGTAAACCCTCAGCAACAAGCTTTCCTGGACGGCTGCCTCTGCTGGATGGGTGGCAGGAGGGAGCAAGCCCTGGTATTCTCAGTCTGCTCTTTCCAATGTGGAGCCCCTGCTTAGGACTGAGATGACGTAGGGCAATCAGGGCTCCCATACTGGAAACCTGCTGAGCCTGGAATAGTGTTTCCTCAGTATAAGTGGAGGGTTATTAAAAGCAAAGTCCTGTACTGAAGAATGTCCCATATGAAAAGTGTCCTTTATTCTCAGCTAAAACTTCACACTGTATTTCTGGTCTCAACACTTAGACTGTTTAAACAGGTGCTGCACTGTGTGGCTTGCAGGGGCTAGGGAGATGGGGACAGGGGGCCTGCAGTCCAGGGCTCTGGCCAGTAGCCTGACAATATCCTTCTTTAGGGACCTCCACTCAGATAAAGCCAGATCCTTAGCTACAGTGCAGAAAAGAATTTCAGGACAAATTTGAGTGAAGCAAAGTTACTGAGTTTATAAAATAGAAATAGGGACAGGACATACTTCCTGTGTGTGTGTGTGTGTGTGTGTGTGTGAGTGAGAGAGTGAGAGAGAGAGAGAGAGAGAGAGAGAGAGAGAGAGAGAGAGAGAGAGAGACAGAGAGACAGAGAGAGACTGAGGAAAAGGACAGGACATACTCGACGCATGGATACAAGCTTTTCAAGAGGGATAGCCACATTTGGGTTCCTTTATAATGGCTTATATGTATGGTTCTGTGGCTTTCTAAGTTACTCGCTCAAATGATGTACTTTGCAATAAGGTTTAAAGATTATACAAAGTTTAAAAATTAAGTAATTTAAAATTGAAGTAAAAACATACGAACTGTTTACTTGTGCTTCCTATTTTGAAGAATTTCCTTTTGTAAATGATATTATAAGGTAAATTTACGCGGTAGATTATTTGGATTTAGGAATGAGAAAGGAGTGCTGGTATGGTTCAACTCCAGGATTCAAGCATCCTGGCCCTAAGTGAAAACTTATTTGTTGTTTCCTCATGGTCTTGCTTGAGATACCTTTAGGAAAACTAGCATCTCTGTAGCAAGTTGTGTTTTCTCAGTTGTGTGGAAGTCTTTGAACTCTCAATGAGTAACACAAACTGAGTCTCAAGGTGGCTTCCCGGCCCTTCTTTCCCTTCCCACATCCCCCAAGTTTTTCCTGTCTTTCTAGCCTGCCTTACCATGACCTTGAGCTGAAAATGCCCTAAAACTGTGTCTACTGTTTTTCCACCTTAAATCTTGCGGTGAGCACACTGAGGAATGGGGACCTGTGTGTAAATACATGTAGATTTCCTGAATGAAGCACTGGTGCTCCCTTGCCCTGAGGAGGGCATTGCTTTTGAAATAGCTGGTACTCTCCTCACCTGTCTTGACATACTACACGCACTACACATACTACATGTACTACACGTCTTTCTCTGCTCTTGGCGCTTGACTGCTTGTTCAACCTTGCACTTTCCAAGATATGCATGCATTGTGTTGGGTTACAAAGGAGACTCCTGCTGGGCCTCCTGGAATGGAGCTTTGGAAACACAGGACCAAGATGCATGCAGAGGGAGGACGGCACCTTGTTCTTCCCAGAAGGGGACCACAACTTCCCAGGGGAACTGGGGGGCTGGGGATGTTGCTCAGCTGACAAATTACTTGCCATGAAGCTCTGGGTTGAATCTCATGAACTCAGTTCATGCTCATAATCACTACACTGAGGAGGT